CTCCATGCCATGATATAAACCCATTGCTTCTCCTCTGTTATACCTCCAATGCTGGTGAATGCAAAAAAAGAGATGAACAGGGCAGATCTGAGAAATTTCTAAACTCCAGTTACTAAATCTGATACAAGAACTGGAAGAAAGTGTCATCCTTGGAGTTGACTCTTTTGTCATGAGCAAAATTCAGTGAGCACACTCTCAGCTACAGAAGTCAAAATACCATCCCATCACTTTTTACGCTGTGACATTAAGGCCACCAGAGCAATAAGAAGTGGTGGTTTGGCTGCCACAATTTCTCCCTCTCACAGTTCTCTCTGAGATTAATATTTGTTTGGAGAGAGACAAATGTCCAGAATATACATTTACCCTCCTAGACCTGTCATTGATTTTCTTGCAGAAAATCAGGGGTGGATACAAAACATGCGAGTTTGCTGGATTATGCTTTTTGGTATTGAAATTTAAATACAGGTAGTCCTACAACAGTTTGTTTAATGATTGTTCAAAGTTACAATGGCACTGAAAAAAGTGACCTATGACCATTTTTCACACTTACAACCATTGCAGCATCCCCATGTTCAGCTGATCAAAATTCGGATGCTTGGCAGCTGGTTCATATTTATGAGGGTGGCAGTGTCCCAGGGTCACGTGATCACCTTTTATAACTTTCTGATAAGCAAAGTCAATGGGGAAGCCAGATTCACTTAACAGCCCTGTTACTAAGTTCAGTAATGATTCAGTTAACAACTATGGCAAGAAAGGTCATAAGATGGCAAATGTCTCACTTAGCAACAGAAATGTTGGGCTCAGTTGTGATTGTAAGTAGAGGATTACCTGTCGTGGGGATGATTTTCTTTCCCTTCCAAGCTGTTCTATGTTCTTATTTTGGACTTCTGCCTTACTTTTAATGCTTCTCATATACACACCATCATTCTGAATTTATAGCTCCAGCTGTTCTACTCAATGGCTCAGCACCTCAGTCCTGGATGCTTCCTTTACTTAGTTTTTTTTTGGTCAGGCAAAAAGTGACACGTTGTTCATCTTTATTCCTCTCTATTGTTGTGTCTAACCACTTCTTTCTCCCTGCCTTCCAGGTGAGCTCTATTATGAGCTTTGTTCCCTATGCCATCCATCTGGTAAACTCGCAAGATTTGTTTTTCTCTCCATGCATAAGTATACATAATCCGAACTAGACTGTGTTGTTTCTCTGTGTCATATAATATATGTGTGTATATGCATAATTCTACATTTATTTATTTTTGTCATATATATGTAGTGTATATTGGAGGTGTATGCAATGAAAAGCGGATTAAGGGTGAAAATATTTAGAGTTGAGTGGATCTGGACACGTAAAGCAAATTCAAGGACTAAAGAAAAGTTTAAGCTAGTTGATCAATAACAAGTGAATTTTCAATATCTTTGGTTAAAAGAAAATGAAATACAAATATGACCAAGGCAGCAGAAATTTTGTAATTCAGTGTAATATGCCAAAACCCAAAAAATTAAATTTGGCCTGAATTTATATGCATGAAGAAAATCAACAAATAACACTTCAGCCAACAAACAATATAGCATAATAACATATGGAAAGTGATGGATAAAATACACATGCTTTGAATTAAGCATGTTAACTTAAGTATTAAGTTAAATAAGATATCAGAGTTCATTGGAGATTGTTTTTTGGGAAAGAAAAAGAAAAGAAAAGTCAGAATGCTGGACTAAAGCTTGATTAAGTTAATATCTACAGAAATAAGTAAATATAAATACAACATTCATCAGTTTAAATACATGTTGAAGATTTAGACAAAAGCAGAACAAGTTTACCTTTTAAATTTTGAGATTTTGACATTATGTGGAACAAACTGCTTTGCAACACTTAAAACCATGAATTAACCATCTCTTTTCCAGTCATGAAAGCGGGGGCAGCTTTGGAAGTAATCATACAAGCCTTGGGAAAAGATGCAGTTGCTATAAGAATTGGAAAAGGGATGCCTTCACAACGAATATTTGTCACTTGTTCATGCTGATAGATGATACCTCCCGCCTACCAGCCATTTGGAAACCCGCCCTTATTGACAAACGACTCCCTAATACAAAAAATGATACCAGACCCACACTCACAAAAACCACACAGGATGTCACCACCCCACATCCACGCAAAAAGCACACCCAAAGCCACACCGATGATGAGGCACGACCACAAACCAGAAGCCAGACCAGAGCTGCATCATTAGCCACTTTAAAGCCCTCCAATCCATACATGAAGCAAACTGACACCCTCCATGAAAATGAGGCACGACCACATACGCGAAGCCAAAAAATAGCAAGGCAGCCCAAAATCTTAAACCCCTCTGCAACTCAGACTAACCTGAGCACAACCAAACAGAACACTCCCCCAGCCAATCAGAGCACAGCCAACCCACCAGCCAATCAGAGCACAGCCAACCCACCAGCCAATCAGAGCACAGCCACGCCCCTAACCAATCAGAACACACCTCCACCCAATCAGAACACAGCCAAGCTCCCACCCAATCAGTTCATACCCCCACTGGCAGTTAAAAGGAAGAAACAGTTAAGACCACACATTGCTGCTCGAAGCACGAAGCTGAAAACACCAGCCTGAAGATGACGAATGGGACTTCGTCGAAACGTCGCCAAGATACTTCCAATTTTACGCGGGAGAAAACCCGAACAACCAAAGACCTACATATATATATATATATATATCAGTGTTGATGCAATGAAGCCATTTTGGAAACATTTAACTTTTTGCATAACTTCCAGTCTCTTTAGTTAGCACTAAGGTTTTCCTAATATTTCACTGTCCACCTTGGGTTGTTTCTAAGCAGACCGGAAACTGAACTAAACTATGTGGCCACAAATCTAGTAATTTTAATTAGGAAATATAGCAACTTTCTACATGTGTGCATTACTTATAGACATGTGATGGGTATGTTGTTGAAAACATATGTTAACACACTATGTGAATATTTAGATGATGGATATCTATATCTGTCTTTATACATTTTCGCATCTACATCTATATATCATGTGTGTATTGATTTTCCATTTAGGGTTGATCTAAATTCTGTTTTCATTTTATTGGTGGACAAAGCTTTTACTGTACAACTTTTGTTAGAAAACAGTGCCATCTAGCAGAAAAATATCATGAATGTTCACTCACTAACAACAAAAAGTGACAGCCCTCTGTTTCAGAACATTTTTGGAGAAGACTTGAAAAACAAGATTTGTGGCTTACAAAAACTTTTGATCACAAACCTACTCAATAAATACATGGATCTCATTGTAGATATCTTCTCAGAACAAAAATGTTGCTTCTGGGTCTCTTTAACCATAACTTCAAAACTGAAGAATTGCAGTCCAAAATATTTAGAAGATGACAACTAAGGAAAACTGGCTTACGATAAAGCCTTTAGATATATCTAACCATATAAGCTGACCTTCTTTACACTGATTTTGCATTACCTCATTTTGCATTACCTAAGAATAAGCTGAATTCCACAGCTATAGAAATGCAACCTTAGTATATTTCACCACTATGGACATAAAATAAATCAGTATTATTTACAATATCAAAACAATTCTTTTCATTAATTTCTCTCAGAATACCACCCTGCCTTGAGTTATGAACACTGGCTAGCATTTAAATTAATCTGTAAATAAAAGGAGAAGGAAGCAGCATATGTATGGTGTGACTTGAAACTCTGTGAAGAGAAATTCATTCACATTCCATGAAATCAATCAAAACATTTTGACACTTCTAAAACTGAAGCAGATTTTCAGGGACAATAAATAGATCCCATTCCAATTAATTCATTCAAATGTTTTATACTCTCACAACAGTATTTTATTGGGACAAATATAGGTTGCATTCACTTGATAAGAATTCATGGAGCATAATTATCCTTCATGCAGAATCTCTCAGATGGTATAGTCCCACTTTTTGCAATTGGTCAAGATCCTTTCTTGTTTATATGCAGTTTTCTGTAGCATTGATTTTTGCACGTTTTCTCAATTCTTATCCTAATAAATAGTTGCATTTAATAAAACAGTTATCTAAACAAAATGATTTTATTCTTGGAAAGGTCTGCTGCTGCTATTTTGTTCTGTTGATTATGATAGTCTCTAGGTCAGTGCTTCTCAACGTTTGTGTGACGGCGACCCCCGTCACACAAACGTGCCGCATATGCGCGGCATGGTGCGCATGCGTGGCACCGCCCCCATGTACAGCGCACATGTGCGGTGCCGCCCCCATGCGCAGCGCGCATGCGCGGCACCGCCCCCTGAGGGGGAAAAATGGCGGATCGCCTTGTTTGGCGACCCCCGAGAAATGGTCGATCGACCCCAAATGGGGTCGCGTCCCATAGGTTGAGAACCGCTGCTCTAGGTTAATGGAGGATTGTTTTTCTCTTCTAAAGCTGTTTTAAGCTTTGTTGCATTGAGCAATATATAAACTGTAACAAGCTAACAAAATGAATTTATGTGGCTACCGTTTTTCCTCTTTCAATTGAATAAAGCTCTTAAACATTAGGAGAAAAGCATGCAATGAATGTTGATCCTTTACCACGGTAATTGTAGAGATATGCCTAATTATGATAGTGGCCATATATTAATGGAGCTCAAGTGGGATCACAAGTAGAAGGGTTCATAGTGCTAATGCTTCCTGAGACACAGTGTTATTATTTTATTCTTCGTAGCTTGGTTGTACTTGGGACACTTTTCTACTACAGGCAAAAACTTCATAGGGTAGGCAAAGGACGTCATGGATCAGGTGATAGGAATAGCAGCATAACTGTCTTTTTGAAAAGCAGATTATACATTTGGGGGAGGAAATGTGCCCTTTACATCATAAGAAAAGGGACTACACTCGGTTTCAAAGTAGGAAGCCGATGAAAAATGAAACAGGATCCCTTAGGCAAGGATTAAATATAGTGGCTAATATATTTAACTGACATCAGAGAGATCCAGTTTCTACTCCATCTGCAGCCACAGCAGCTCACTAGGAGACTTACAGCCCAACCTACCTCACAGTGAAGAAATAGAGGAGGATGGAGCACTATTTATGTGCCTTGAGTTCCTAAACAAAGGTGAGATATAGACACATGAGCATGTTTGTGTGCCAGAGAAGGTCCGCATAAAGCAATAAAAATATCCAGTCCTTTTTTTTTCATGTACCTTGTTGCTTTTTAAAGAGCAACAAGGAGGAGTCAATTCCTTAAAACAGCTGCAACTGTTTCCAGGCTAGTGCAGAAGCCTGAAGAAAATAAGGGTTACTTTGATGAATTGTGCAGAGGGACCAGCACTGCCCAAGGTCCAAAGCTTTTTTCCCAACTGCTTTTTGAACCATGCCCAGCTCCTATGGGCATGGTTCAAAAATAGAGTTACAGTGCATGCCTGTATCTCTATTTAAAACTGCTGGAGGGGGCAAGAGGGGAAGATTTCCAAAACTATCTATGCAACTATATAGAGGTGAAACAGGCAGAAAAATATAATCTTGTAGAGGAACAGTTGTAACCAAGACAATGATGAGATAAAAGAAATCTCATGTAATTTGGGGAAGCATCTCAGACATGATCATCATTAGTTCTAATGAAGATAGAGGGAGAAAGGAGGGGAAGTACAGACTTGTCAGATTCTATTACTATAACATCATAATAAAAGTAACATTAGCTTGCATGACTTTGGTTTCCAAGTGTGGTCTACCTTGATAATGTTAGAGGGAATAGAAGGGAACTCATCAGATTTGCAGACACCAAGCTGGGGGGAATAGCCAACACTTTAGAAGATAGGCTTAAGATCCAGAAGGATCTTGACAGACTTGAACAATAAGTGGGAGCAAGGAGTCCTAGTGGTCACCCACTTAAGTATGAGCAAGTAGTGTGTTGCAGCAGCTAAAAAAGCCAACACAGTGCTAGACTGCATTAATAGAGGGTTAGAATCAAGATCATGCGAAGTATTAATACCACTCTACAATGTCTTGGTAAGACCAAACTTGGAATATTGCATTCAGTTTTGGTCACCATGATACAAAAAAGATGTTGAGACTCTAGAAAAAGTGCAAAGAACAGCAACAAAGATGATTAGGGGGCTGGAGACTAAAACATACAAAGAACAGTTGCAGGAATTGGGTATGTATAATTTAAGGAAAAGAACTAGGGGTGACATGATAGCAGTGTTCCAATATCTGAGGGCTGTCCCAAGGATAAAGATGTCAACCTGTTCTACAAACCTATCAGAGAGAGATTCAACACAAAACTAAGGAGAAATTTCCTGACACTGACAACAATTACTTCTGCTTGCCTCCAGAAGCTTGGGTATTCCATCACGGGAGATTTTTAAGAAGATATTGGACATCTGGAATAATGTAGGGTCTCCTGCTTAAGCAGAAAGATGGAGTAAAATCCTCCAAGTCCCTTGCAACTCTGTTATTCTGTTATTAGTGAAGAAATGAATAAGCTGTTATGAGGGAAAAGTATGAAAACTCCATCCTAAGAAAGAGAGGATATGAAAAAAACTTCAAGCAATCCTACCTTGATTCTGTTTGATATAAATCGCTTTCAAGATTCTGTAACATTAATTAGTATTCCTATAATCCTTGCAATGTCTGTTCTTAACCCAGTCTACATCAAGGTCTAACTGGCCATGATTCATCCCAATTGTATTCTCACATTTCTCAGGGTCAGCTAATCCTTGGACTTCAGTACAGAACATCAGCTGGTTGACAGAATACAAAATTTTGCAATCAAACATTGCTATATTGCAGATTTTATAGGTAAGCTGTACAGCTGGCTCACAAATGTGTAATAGTGCAAACACAAGGGAATGAAAATGCTACATTGATCATTGACATGCACACATTGGGAGGAGGGTTTTCAGTCTCATTATTTGATGGTTGACTAAGGTTAAGACTAATCATATACAGTGTTTTCCAAACCAGATGCCTAGAATCTACGTAGTCTAAGAATCACATTGGAAATCCAATCAACAGAAGCTTGAGATACACATTCCCACGCTAAAGATGTCACTTGAAATAGTGTTAATGTAATTGCATCAGTGAGTCATCTGTGGTTTTCATTCTTTTTTTTTTTAAGCCCTAAAAAAACAGGATGTGAAACTATACTGGTAAAATACTCTAATAAGGCAAGCTATCTTCTCAAGAACTAAGTTTTACCTTCATGTCTGTTTTTCAATAGTCAACTATCCCTGCCAACATTTTCTGGCACATTAAAGTACAATTCTTTTCTGAAAAAAATTATAGAGTGTTATTTCCCTACTGAGTTTTTCTTCTTGAAAGTAATAACCCTGAATGAGACAACCAAAATTTAGCTACAATTAACATTTATGGTCACAAATGCTAATAGTGTTAGACAGGATAAGAGATAGAATTCTCTGTTAACATATTTATTTTCTACACTTAAGTCAAAAAGCTGAAGATTATCAAAAATAGCATCAACTGTGACTGATTTCCATCAATTACAACAATAATTCTCACAGTAATCTAAAGTTGGGTTTATCTCACAATAAAATCAGAAATATATACCTTCTGGAAAGTATGCTTATACTCTACTCTCTCTCATACTTCAGTGCTAGACAATTACCTAAGTTTCTCAATGAGCATATACCAGGGGTCTTCAAACTTGGCCCTTTTATGACTTGTAGACTTCAACTCCCAGAATTTCTCAGCCAATGTGCCTGGTTGAGGAATTCTGGAAGTTGAAGTCCACAAGTCATAAAAGGGCCAAGTTTGAAGACCCCTGGCATATACCATTTCTGAAATCAGCCACAACCAGCTTTGTTTTTTTTTAGCATTAAAGCTTGCTCAGGGCTCCATGTCTGTAGGCCCCAAGATGGGGCAACCCCATCTAGACTGTACTTAAATCACTAGTTATAACATATGTGGTTTTATAGCTGACTATCATGGTTGCTATTAAACCCATACTTTCTAATTTAAAATACTCCAAATAAATAGTCTTTCCTCATAGGAGAACTGGTCTAATAATCATGTTGATCACATTGGCTTCCTTAGCATAAGAAAAAAAAATGCCTCCCACCAATTCATTTGAAATGGCTGCACCTGCCAACAGTGATGGCATTAATAAGGTAAAAGGAGGAATTTCCTTTTGGCAGAAGGAGGTGGAATAAAAGTTTAATTTTTCTGCAGTTGGAAATGCACTGAGAGTGAGAGAACAGAAAATTTTTCCTTTGAGCCAGGGAACTAAAACCTAAGAAGCTGGAGAGCCAGCAGGAAACAATAGCCCTTCTGAACTTGCCAGGAGTTAGAGAGGTAGAAAAGCAATGGTAAAACTGTGAAGATGCCTTTTATCAGTGAAGCAATAAGCAAAAGCATAGTACTGGATTCAGTAAGAAACACCAAAAGGAACCTTTTGGAGAGGCTACCAAGGAGTGCACAATGAAGGTAGCTACTCCATTGTTTCACACTGGCAACTAGGACTTTTTCAGCCATTTCACTTCTCCAGTATTTTTTTCTCTGGTGAACTTGGTTTAGATGTTTTAAAACTTTTATATGACTGAGTCTGTTTTGCATTAAACTTGTCCCTGCAGTGATTACTTCTCTGGGCACTTTAACCTCTTTTTTGGGGGGGGAGAGGGGGTTTCTGATAACACATTTACCATCACCCTCCCCCCATTGTTAAAATTGTTCAGTCAATTGTGAAAACAGGACCATAATACATGTTATTACTATTGTTACAATTGTTCAGTGAATATTTTCATTGCTACAATTGCTCAATGACCGTCTTTGTCTTTTGTGAAAGGTTCAGCATTGTAGAAGTGCAACTATACAAATATGAAGACTGTCATATTTTAATGTTCCTGTTTCATCTTTATTCCAATAATGTGGCTTTTAGCTATATATCAAGTACTTTGTGTTAAACAATAATGCAATTTGAAGGGTCCGTAGTTCTGATGATATTACCTAGTTTGAGTAATGAAATGTCTATAAGAAAATAACCAAGTTCAAAGACCACCAAGGACCCCTCATTTCAACCCTGAGCTACAAATATTCTTTATTGGCATAATGTAGTTGGCTAAGTTTTGGCTTAGCATATATTCAGAGCCAGGAATGAGTTTTACAAATCATGTATGTGGTTTTGTATGTTATTCAAACCTAGCCTAACCTTATTTAATCCATGATTTACTTGTTAAACAATTTGATATGTGAACTAAGTCTTTCTTTAAAAATGAGAATGGGAATGCCCATGATTTATATATACCAGCGCTCAACATACAACCACAATTGAGCCCAAAATTTTTGTTGCTAGGTGAGAACATTGTTAAGTGAGTTTTGTCCCATTGTTAAGTGAATCACTGCAGCTGTTAAATTAGTAACACAGTTGTTAAGTGAATCTGGTTTCCTCACTGACTTTGTGTTATGGTTCCAACTAATGAACCCAAACAAATCAGAACTCTGAGGCTTGAAGATTCCTCAAAGAACATGTTTATTGGATACATAATATCGGCACAATCAAAAGTGAAACCAACTCTAAAATTCTCATGCAGATTCAATGTAATTAAATGTAATACGTCCCTCCCTGTACCATGCCATTGATCATGCTACCCAATGAGGGCAACTGGTGGGCTCCTTAACACTCCTTCTCTCCAGTTTCCAGCACCTGTGAGGATGATCTTGGTTCCCATGTTATGTCTAGCAATACCTCCCCCCCCAGCCAGCAAAGTGTGGCAACTGTGTGGCAACCGTGAACAGCAAAGGTGGCTTCAGCCAGGTTCATTTCAAAAGTTGAACACATGACCCCAGGACACTGGAATCATCATAAATATGATTCAGTTGTCAACCATCCAAATGTAAATCACATGAACATTGGGATGCTGCAACGTCACAAATGTGAAAAATAGTCATAAGTCACTTTTTTTCAATTCTGTTGTAACTTCACTAACCAAACTGCTGTATGTATATTGTGGACAGTAAAGGAAACAAACAAATGCTGTGCAATCTTCTTGCAGCAGCTTACCAGGTGGGCCACTGTTTCTTCAGCTTCTTTGCATAGGCAGCACTTACTGTCTGTTGCTGTCTTCTCAATTTTGATTATTATTATTATTATTATTATTATTATGGATCATTGCACAGTCAGCCAGATGTTCAGACTGGATTTGGCATTTTGTCTATTATTATTATTATGGATCATCGCACAGTCAGCCAGATGTTCAGACTGGATTTGGCATTTTGTCTACCTATCGAGTCCTTGGCAGGACCTGGGATAGGCGGATGTGGATGTTTGATGCTATTACAGATATCGTCGCAGGATGGAAGCAGTTCCTAGTAAGGCCACCTTTTGCAATTGACTAATGGCAAATTTGTCAATGCCAATGGTGTTCAAGTGGTGCTCCAGTTGTTTTGGGATTGCATCCAAGGCCAAATTATTATTATTATTATTATTATTATTATTATTATTATTATTATTATTATTATTATTATTGATCATCGCACAGTCAGCCAGATGTTCAGACTGGATTTGGCATTTTGTCTACCTATCGAATCCTTACCCAGGACCTGGGATAGGCAGATGTGGATGTTTGATGGTATTACAGGTATCGGCGCAGGATGGAAGCAGTTCCTAGTAAGGCCGCCTTTTGCAATTGACTAATAGCGAATTTGTCAATGCCAATGGTGTTCAAGTGGTGTTCCAGTTGTTTTGGGATTGCACCCAATGAGCCTATTACTATTGGTACTACCCTTGCTTGTTTTTGCCACAGTCTTTCTATTTCTATTTGTAGGTCTTTGTATTTTGTTATCTTCTCCAGTTCTTTCTCGTCTATTCTGCTGTCTCCAGGCACTGCCACGTCCATTATCCAGACTTTTTTGTCTTTCTTATTGACAATTGTTAAGTCTGGGGTGTTATGTTGCAGGTGCTTGTCTGTTTGAATTCTGAAGTCCCAGAGCAGTTTAATTTTATCATTTTCTATGACTTTCTCTATTTTATGATCCCACCATTTTTTGCTTACTGGCAAATGATATTTTTTGCAGATCTTCCAATGCACCATTGTTGCTACTTTGTCATGCCACTGCTTTTAATCAGTTTGTGCAATCTTCTTGCAACAGCTTACCAAGTGGTCCACTGTTTCTTCAGCTTCTTTGCATAGGCGGCACTTACTGTTGGTTGCTGTCTTCTCAATTTTGACTTTATATGCATTTGTCCTTAAGGCTTGGTCTTGTGCAGCTAGAATTAGTCCCTCGGTCTCTTTCTTCAATTTTCCTGCTCTTAGCCATTGCCAGGTCTTGTTATTATCTGCTTTCCCACATATTTTTTTAATGTATTGGCCGTGTAGTGCTTTGTTTTCCCATGCCTCTCTTCTGTTCTTCATTTGGTCTTTCTTGTAGGCCAGTTTGGTCTCTCCAGTAGTCAGTAAGCCTTCCTGATATACTAATTTCAGTGCATCTTCATCATTGTTCTTCAGATATTCTTCCAAAGCCATTTTTTCTTCTTCAACCATCTGATGTACTTGTAGCATTCCACGCCCACCTATTTGCCTTGGTAGATAAAGTCTGTCAATGTCACTGCGTGGATGAAGGGCATGATTCATTGTCATTATTTTTCTGGTCTGCCTATCCATTGCTTTTAGTTCTGCTTGAGTCCAGTCCACTATTCCAGCTGTGTACCTAATGACTGGGATTGCCCAGGTGTTGATTGCCTTTATGGTATTTCCTCCATTGAGTTTGGACTTTAAGATCTTCTTCACTCTCTTGATGTATTCACCTCTAATCTTTTTCTTGACTTCAGTGTGCTTGATGTTGTC